GGTAGTAGTAATGAATCCTTGTCTAGGACTCCTGCTCTTATTGTATTATTTAACACGGTGTTGCTTGGATGTCCCATGCGTGCGTGCCAGATGTCTTCGGAGGCGCGGTGTCCGGGTGAGCGTTGATACGCATCGGAGTTGGAGTAGAAGCTGGCGACGAAGTTTGCGCTTCTGTGGACTTCTCGTTGAGTTGGGTTCAGCTGCTGTGCGAGTGTTGGTGGTGCTTCGTCAACGAGAACTGGTGTCGCTGACGATGGTTCTGCTACTGCCGATGATGTTTCTGCTGCTGCCGATGTTGTCTCTGCTGCTTCTGCTGCTGCCGATGTTGTCTCTGCTGCTGCCGGATGTTGAATTATTGCTAACGCGCGTGTTCGTTCTGCTTCAGGGATGGTATGCGAGTACCAGAAGCCTTCCGGGCTGAAGTCTGGATCAAGATCTGGAGGGTGCGTCCAGTCGGCGAAGTTCACGATGGCGTCGCTGTCTGCGGTGCCCAGGTCTGGGACAAAGTCAAGGACAAAGACGTTATTCTTCAGAACCGCCTTTCCAATGTAGAGGCCGCCCTTCCCGTGGTACAGTTTGAACTCCTGGGTGGTGCTGTCGGCTTCCAGGTGTATGCCTTTCGCCATCAGCTGACTGACGCTCAGTAAGTTGTAGCCGAGTCCCTCTGCTATTAGGACTTTCGACATTTGTAGTACGACGTTCGTCTCCCGTGACTGAAGCTGTACTATGCCTTGTCGTCTTGTTCGCAGGTTCTGATTATTGGCGACGGTGATGACGACTTCTCGTTGAAGTCGGGGCTCGCGTTGAACGAAACGTCCTGAGGAGCACATGTGTTGTCCGCAGCAACTGTCCAAGAACCAAGTGTCTCTTCCGGATGGCTCGCTTTGAGCGATGGCGGCGTATGTCGGGTTCGGCTGAAGTGACTCGCGGCGAGGTGTGGTTTCGTCAAGTCGTTCTTCTGGTGAGTAGTATGGCGGTGATTCGGTGATGCAGGAATCTGTTGTCTTTGCCATGCAGTTGACGATGTTTCTTGCTCCTTGTGGAGGTTGTCCTGTTGGAGTCGTTGAGGTTTGAATCTTTGTCGTGGGAGTTGCTTGCGTTGAAGTGACTTGGGAGCTTGAAGGCCGAAGTTGTCGCTGTGGTGTTGTCGATTGCTGGCGATACGGGCAGTGCGTACGAGGATGCCCTGAAGTCTTGCAGATATGGCAAAACGGAGGTACTGACTTCAATTGTTGTTGCTGTCGATTGTTGTTGTTGTAGCGTCGCTGGGTGTGAAACACGAACTCTGGTACTGACGTTTTCTTCTTATGTCGTTCTTCTTGCAGGTCCATGTCCTGCTGTTTAGCATGGATTTCGGCGCAGAGTGCTGCTTCGGAGATTCTCCCGTGTGCCCGTAATATGGCGCGAGTGGAGCGCCAGTGAGGGCCAAGACCACCGATGACAACCGTGACAAAGGCGTCTTCTGAAATCGATCCTCCACATCGAAGAAGCTTGTCGCGCAGTTCGCGGCAGCGACTGATATATGCCATGCCCTTCTCGCCTGGTTTCATTTCAATTGTTGTCAGCTGCGCCATTAACCGGCTTTGGTTTACGCTGTCTGTTGCTTGATACAGGTTCTTCAAGTGGTTGTACGCGAGCTCCGCGGAGTTACCGTAACCTCGGTAAGTCCTTATGTTCTGCTGTTGAGTCGGGGTGATGTTCCTCAGTAGTATTGTGTACGCCATCATCGATTGATAGGTGTACTGCTGCTTCTCATACTGCGTGCCGTTTGTTGGATATGGCAGGGACCCGTCGAAGAAGCCAAGGATCTGCGCTCCTTCCATCATCAGCTCGAATTCGAACGACCAGGTAAAGAAATCCTTCCCGTCGAAAGGTTTTGTCGTTTGTAGTTTCAGAACATGCGCGAATTGCGACTGAACTTGTAGTGCGTCCAGTGCTCTTTCTTGTCCCGGTGCAGGTTGTGGTTGCGGCATGAAGCTGACGGAGCCGCGCTGGGGCTCGTACGGAGCGAAGGTAGGTTGTTGATGTTGATTCCCGCGTGCGTAGGATGAGCCATCGAGACTCATGGGCGTCACGTTGTTGTTGTTGCTGTTGTTTGATTGCGCAGGTACTCCTTGCTGATGCTGCTCGTAGAAGGACATGAAGGAGAAGAATTTCTCCATCATACTTGGATCGAAGCCCGCGCCTTGGTTTGCGGGTGTTTCCGTAGACCCAGCTGCTGGTCTAGTTGTTGTCCCTTCCTCTGTCAGTAGGCTAGAGGCAGGAGGTGGAGTAGGGGTAGTACCGGGAGAGCCGTTGAAGGAGCTCCTCTCCTTTCTAGCAGACATGTCTTCTTGATGTATTAAGTGTTGAAGAGAAATTTTTAACTCTAACCAGCTCTCATACCATGTTGGGCTGAACGCCCTAGGATCTTTAGTAGAGTTAAAGTCTGAGTAAATGATGTAGTAGCGGAAGCGTTTGAATAAAGTCCTTGAACCACCTTGCGCTAGTATGTGAGGGCAAAGTAAGTTAATTAAAGCAAAGAGATACAGGAATATATATATGAGTACAGAGAATATGAAGAGACATAATTGTAACTGTTTTACTGTTGCGGCTCGATACAGTGCGACTCGGGCAACTGCTCAATGTCGAGTCAGTTGTGTGTCCTTGCTGTCGCGTTGCGTCAGGTCAAAGGTCGCCGACCTTTGACTTTCTCGTAACCTCTTGCGGTTACGTTAACCTCCGAGGGTTGACTCGCGGTGCTTCGATTTGAGCTGCTTCGCTTGTGTCTTGAGTTTCGACACGACAGAGGCGCTTAAGACTATTTGTTCCCAACAGGAACAACAATACGTTGATTGCAATTTGGGACTCTCGAAGCAAACCCAGGTTGCTCCCAAGGGTTTGCCGTGTCAACGAAAACCCCAAGGGTCTAGCGCGAAACTGGGCGAAAGGAAACAGCCCAACTCCCAACAAGTCAACTTCTTCTCCCACCACCCAAAGGTCAACCTTACTAAGGTTGAACAATTTGGGCCGCGAGCTTTAATGCTTGCTATCGTGTATTACCAGCCATATGTGTATAAATTATATGAGAGAGACTCACGAAATGTCGCGAATTTTCAAACGAAACTAACAGTGAGTGACTGAGGGCGTCGTCAGGTTGCACGCCACCTTTCTGAGTGGAGGGCGAAAGCGAAATCGGGGGGAGGAGGAGGGCCGCACACACGGCCGGCAAGGACCGATGGCGCACTGTCACTGTGCTGCGCCCCCGAACCTAGGCGTGCAGAAACATCCCCCACCCCCCCAGCCCTTCAAAACCGCGTTACTCCGCTTCGGCTGCCATGCGGTGTGTTCCTTGTTCCGCCGACCACTTCCAGATCTGTTTCGCAGCGCGCGGTCACCCTAACCGAACCCAACCAGTCTCAGCACCATCTGTACGCCACTTCAAGCCTTTTCTCTTCTTGAACTCCCCTCATTCCTCATTTTGCTGGCCTTTTCTACCGTCAAAGCAGCTGCCTGTCAATTTTTCTTTGCTGCATTCAGATAGTAGCAACTGTTCCTGTATTGGCTGGTAACTGTTCGCTACGCCATGCCTCAGAAAATGTTCTCTTACTCTCACAAGAGCCGCTCTTCCAGGCCAAAACCTTTCCTTATCACGGAGTCATGTCGCTCTTTCGCGCTCGCGAAGCTCATAGCAGCGCTCGCCGCGCTGCTCGCCCCGTCAGCCACCGCGTTGAAACTCGGCCCGTACGTCCCGCCGTCGGACCCTACGACCACTCGAGGCCCGTGCCCAGGCTTCAACACGATGGCGAACCACGGCGTCTTTCCGCGCGACGGCTCCGCCATTCCGCGCGACCGCATCGTCGCCGCCTTTAGCAAGTTCTACTCCTTCTCCCCGACCATGTCGAACGCCATTCTCGATTCCGCCTTCGCGAAAGGCGTGGGGGACCCCGCGGCGCAGACAATTAACCTCGTGCAGCTCCGCGCGCACAACAAGATCGAGCACGACGTGTCGCTCGTCCGCGATGATTCCTACCTCGGTAACAACTACCTCGTTAACGTAACGCTCTTCAACGAAATGCTCGGCTTCTCCGCGACGAAGAAATTCATCACTCTCGGCGAGATTGGCCGCTTCCGCAAGCACCGCTTTGCCTTTTGCAAGAAGAACAATCCCGAGATCAGTTTCGACTCGAATCGCCAAGATGTGGCGCTCTCCGAAGCGGCGGCGCTGGCAGGGGTGTTCGGCGGGAGGGTCCGCGCTTACGCTATTCCGATTAACTACCTCAAGTCGTTTCTCCGTGACGAACGCTATCCCAACGGCTTCAAGCCGCCGGTTGTTCCGCTGACCTTCCCTGAGCTGCTCGCCGTGTCAGCGCATATCAAGCTCGCCGCGTCCTTGGCTTAGAAAGCTAAGTAAGTACTCTCGAATATCTGGAAGGCTTCTAGCACATCCTAAGGTTGTATCCCTGCCCAGTGTCAAGAAGTTGGTGTCAAGAATTTTGCGCACGCGATTGGTTAAAAAAAAACGCTTGACCAATCGCATTGGCCGGACATTTGTTTTGGACCAATCGGGTGCGCACACTTCTTGACACCAACTTCTTGACACTAGGCAGGGATACGTACGTGGTACCGGTATTCCATAGGTAACATGGTGGAGTTCATACCGTGATACATAAAGTGTAGCCGGTTTTTTTTTTCCAACATGCTGATGCTGGGTGTTACTAGTATACCATCAATGACAGATTGGACTTGCAAATATACTGGTACCGGTACTCTGAATTCGTTTGAAGGATGACATGATCAAATTATCTGCTAACACCACCACAAGGACAAACTGCATTACTCATTGAGATATAAATGGCATCCACACATTCCAGATGCACCTGAAGCTTGACAACAACTGACCCCTCCTGGCCATCTTCTGCTGCCACCAATCCAGCACTAACAGATACGGTACCCATTTGGCATTTTCTCATTTGGTACCAAGGTACTGGATGCCTATTGGCTATGGTACATCCGTGAGGTTACTGCTGAGTGTCTCTGCTGCTGCTGTGTCTGTGTCTCAACTCCTCAGCCACACTCGGACCCTGCTCTGCTGCCACCTGGTACTCTCCCACAACCCCGTTCCCCACCCCACCCACCCCCTTCTTTTTCCCCTTCCCCTTCCCCTCCCCACTGTCATCGCTACCAGCAGAGCCATGAGCCGACCTCTCCACGTCAGCAGCGCCACTCGCGCCGTGATTGGTCACCAGCGGTGCACCGGCGCACATGTGGCGTGCCATGGTGGAGAGCCGCATCAGCCGTCGCCGCCTCTCTCTGCGCTCAATCTCCTGCACCACCTCATGGTCACCTGGGCATACATGCCTGCCACGAGACACAGGGGGCAGTGGGGTGAGAGGGGAAAAGCTAGTGAGCATCCGGGATGAAAGGGGTTGAGAGTGCTTGAGGCGCCACGGTATTGACCTCGACAACTCCCACTGCTTCCCTTTTCACTTGATCCACTGCACCAGTTGCTCGTTTCCTGGACACACATGGCTGGGGACGACGGAGAGCAGAATGCGGTGTGAGACTGAGCAGACAATACGAGGCATCAAGGCTCCCCATCCCTCCCATCCCGGCCCAGCACCCCCAAGCCTCACCTCCACATCCCGCGGATAGCGTAGGAGGGCAGCATGGCGGCCACCACGGCGAGCAGCAGGTTGAGCCAGAAGCTGGCGGCGGGCAGCAGCTGCGCGGCCACACCCACCAGATTGCCCACCCACTTGGCGGGCAGGTAGCTGCCGACCGTCATGAGGACGAAGAAGAAGAGGATGGAGCCGAATATGGTGATGAAATGCAGTGCGTTCCAATACTGTTGGTGGGCAGGCAGATGTAAGGGGACGGAGAGGGGGGGAGAGGGAGGAGAGGGGGAGGGGGAAAGAGGGGAAAGCAAGAAAGAAAGGGAGTGCATTTGCATGTTAGTGGTTGTGTTGCTTGGAGACATGCGTTTTGAAAACGTCGGAATGATGTTTGGCTGGGAGGGCAGGGATGAAGGAAAGCGGGAGAAACTAGAAGGCGAGGAACTAGAAGGCGAGAAAGGGCACGCAGTCTGGAAGGCTGGTACGCAGTCTGGAAGGCTGGTACGGTACGGGGGACTGTGAGCCCCACGGCACTCCCTTGCACACACATGCTTCTGCCATCACTAACAAATCCGTCCGCACACTCCCTCACGCGCACAGCACAGCAACACCAAGGCACGGCAGCACAGACACGTCACCTGCACGTTGGAGCCGAGTTCAAGGTTGACGGTGGTGACAACGGCGGCATACATGATGGTACCGATGGCCGTGAGGTCCAGGATGAGCCCGCTGCTGCGGTCGGGCACGAGGGCGAAGGGCAGCAGCGTGAGCGTGAAGATGATGCCTGCCTGCACCAGCCCGTTCACCATCCAGCTCGCCACGTTCAGCACCGAGAAGTACTCGTTGCGCTGGCCCTGTGGGGCAGGCAGGAGGGAGGGGGGAGCGAGAGAGAGGAAGGGTTAGAACTCTGCCTTAGTTCTAGCCCTCTGCCCCTCTTTGCTGCCCAAAATGGTGCCACATGTAAGGGCAGAAAGCTTCAATGTGTTGGCTTGATCGCCCCACATGGGTGTGTTGGTTTGATCGCCCCACATGGGTGTGTTGGTTTGATCGCCCCACATGGGTGTGTTGGTTTGATTGCCCCACATGGGTGTGTTGGCCCAGCCACCAAAAGTGGCCACCCACAACCTCGTCTAGGTGGTTAGGCTGTTATTGTTGGTTTCTCCCACTTGCTTATGCTAGTGAAATACACCTGGCCATTCACCTGCAAGAGTTCTGATTTTCGAAGGGGTGTGGTGTGTAGGGAGCAAGGAAGCATGACATACGTGTGTAGGGAGCAAGCAAGCATGACACACGTGTGTAGGGAGCAAGCAAGCATGACACACGTGTGTAGGGAGCAGGGAAGCATGACACACGTGTCCACACAGCTGCCCCACACGCCCTGAAGCACCCACCTGGGCGAAGCGCTGCCCCACACGCTCATACCCGGTGCCCACCCACCTGCTTGTAGAGCTGCGGGTAGCGCAGGCGGTAGACGGCCTTGACGTCCTGGTCCATGACGCCCACCACACCGATGGGCAGTGAGGTGAAGAAGACCATGAAGAGTGTGAGGTACCAGTCGTAGTACACTGCTGTGCCGGAGAAGTATGCCAGGCAGTTGTAGAAGAGGATGGTGAACGCGAACACGAAACACTTGTAGAAGAAATAGGTTATCTGCGTGGGGCGGGGGGGGGTGGGATGGGGTGGAATGGGGTGAAATAGGATGGGATACAAAGAACGGAAAGACTTATTGGAGAAGAAGGTGCGCCCTGTGGGATGGCATGGGATGGCATGGGATGGCATGGGATGGCATGGGATGGCATGGGATGGCATGGGATGGCATGGGATGGCATGGGATGGCATGGGATGGAATGGGATGGCATGGGATGGCATGGGATGGCATGGGATGGCATGGGATGGCATGGAATGGCATGGGATGGCATGGGATGGCATGGGATGGCATGGGATGGCATGGGATGGCATGGGATGGCATGGGATGGCATAGGATGGCATGGGATGGCATGGGATGGCATGGGATGGCATGGGATGGCATAGGATGGCATGGGATGGCATGGGATGGCGTGGGATGGCATGGGATGGCGCGGGATGGTATGGGATGGCATGGGATGGCATGGGATGGCGTGGGATGGCTTAGGATGGCGTGGGATGGCGTGGGATGGCATGGGATGGCATGGGATGGCATGGGATGGCGTGGGATGGCATTGGATGGCATGGGATGGCATGGGATGGCATGGGATGGCATGGGATGGAATGGGATGGCATGGGATGGCATGGGATGGCATGGGATGGCATGGGATGGCATGGAATGGCATGGGATGGCATGGGATGGCATGGGATGGCATGGGATGGCATGGGATGGCATGGGATGGCATGGGATGGCATAGGATGGCATGGGATGGCATGGGATGGCATGGGATGGCATGGGATGGCATAGGATGGCATGGGATGGCATGGGATGGCGTGGGATGGCATGGGATGGCGCGGGATGGTATGGGATGGCATGGGCTGGCGTGGGATGGCATGGGATGGCGCGGGATGGTATGGGATGGCATGGGATGGCATGGGATGGCGTGGGATGGCTTAGGATGGCGTGGGATGGCGTGGGATGGCATGGGATGGCATGGGATGGCGTGGGATGGCATGGGATGGCATGGGATGGCATGGGATGGCATGGGATGGCATGGGATGGCATGGGATGGCATGGGATGGCATGGGATGGCATGGGATGGCATGGGATGGAATGGGATGGCATGGGATGGCATGGGATGGCATGGGATGGCATGGGATGGCATGGAATGGCATGGGATGGCATGGGATGGCATGGGATGGCATGGGATGGCATGGGATGGCATGGGATGGCATGGGATGGCATAGGATGGCATGGGATGGCATGGGATGGCATGGGATGGCATGGGATGGCATAGGATGGCATGGGATGGCATGGGATGGCGCGGGATGGCATGGGATGGCGCGGGATGGTATGGGATGGCATGGGATGGCATGGGATGGCGTGGGATGGCTTAGGATGGCGTGGGATGGCGTGGGATGGCATGGGATGGCATGGGATGGCATGGGATGGCGTGGGATGGCATGGGATGGCATGGGATGGCATGGGATGGCATGGGATGGCATGGGATGGAATGGGATGGCATGGGATGGCATGGGATGGCATGGGATGGCATGGGATGGCATGGAATGGCATGGGATGGCATGGGATGGCATGGGATGGCATGGGATGGCATGGGATGGCATGGGATGGCATGGGATGGCATAGGATGGCATGGGATGGCATGGGATGGCATGGGATGGCATGGGATGGCATAGGATGGCATGGGATGGCATGGGATGGCGTGGGATGGCATGGGATGGCGCGGGATGGTATGGGATGGCATGGGATGGCGTGGGATGGCATGGGATGGCGCGGGATGGTATGGGATGGCATGGGATGGCATGGGATGGCGTGGGATGGCTTAGGATGGCGTGGGATGGCGTGGGATGGCATGGGATGGCATGGGATGGCATGGGATGGCGTGGGATGGCGTGGGATGGCATGGGATGGCATGGGATGGCATGGGATGGCGTGGGATGGCATGGGATGGCATGGGATGGCATGGGATGGCATGGGATGGCGCAGGATGGTATGGGATGGCATGGGATGGCGTGGGATGGCATGGGATGGCACGGGATGGTATGGGATGGTATGGGATGGCATGGGATGGCGCGGGATGGCATGGGATGGCGCGGGATGGTATGGGATGGCATGGGATGGCATGGGATGGCGTGGGATGGCTTAGGATGGTATGGGATGGCGTGGGATGGTATGGGATGGCGTGGGATGGCATGGGATGGCGTGGGATGGCGTGGGATGGCGTGGGATGGCGTGGGATGGCATGGGATGGTATGGGATGGCATGGGATGGCGTGGGATGGCATGGGATGGCGCGGGATGGTATGGGATGGCATGGCATGGGATGGCGTGGGATGGCGTGGGATGGCGTGGGATGGCATGGGATGGCATGGGATGGCATGGGATGGCATGGGATGGCATGGGATGGCATGGGATGGCATGGGATGGCATGGGATGGCATGGGATGGCGTGGGATGGCATGGGATGGCATGGGATGGCGTGGGATGGCATGGGATGGCGTGGGATGGCATAGGATGGCGTGGGATGGCGTTGGATGGCATGGGATGGCATGGGATGGCATGGGATGGCATGGGATGGCATGGGATGGCGCGGGATGGTATGGGATGGCATGGGATGGCGTGGGATGGCATGGGATGGCGCGGGATGGTATGGGATGGCGTGGGATGGCGTGGGATGGCATGGGATGGCATGGGATGGCATGGGATGGCATGGGATGGCATGGGATGGCGCGGGATGGTATGGGATGGCATGGGATGGCGCGGGATGGCATGGGATGGTGCGGGATGGTATGGGATGGCATGGGATGGCATGGGATGGCGTGGGATGGCTTAGGATGGCGTGGGATGGCGTGGGATGGCGTGGGATGGCATGGGATGGCATGGGATGGCATGGGATGGCATGGGATGGCATGGGATGGCATGGGATGGCATGGGATGGCGTGGGATGGCATGGGATGGCATGGGATGGCGTGGGATGGCGTGGGATGGCATGGGATGGCGTGGGATGGCATAGGATGGCGTGGGATGGCGTGGGATGGCATGGGATGGCATGGGATGGCGCGGGATGGTATGGGATGGCATGGGATGGCGCGGGATGGCATGGGATGGCGCGGGATGGCATGGGATGGCATGGGATGGCATGGGATGGCGTGGGATGGCTTAGGATGGCGTGGGATGGCGTGGGATGGCATGGGATGGCATGGGATGGCATGGGATGGCATGGGATGGCATGGGATGGCATGGGATGGCATGGGATGGCATGGGATGGCATGGGATGGCATGGGATGGCATGGGATGGCATGGGATGGCATGGGATGGCATGGGATGGCGCGGGATGGCATGGGATGGCGCGGGATGGTATGGGATGGCATGGGATGGCGCGGGATGGCATGGGATGGCGCGGGATGGCATGGGATGGCGTGGGATGGCATGGGATGGCATGGGATGGCTTAGGATGGCGTGGGATGGCGTGGGATGGTATGGGATGGCATGGGATGGCATGGGATGGCGTGGGATGGCATGGGATGGCGTGGGATGGCGTGGGATGGCATGCGATGGCATGGGATGGCATGGGATGGCATGGGAAGGCATGGGATGGCATGGGATGGCATGGGATGGCATGGGATGGCATGGGATGGCGTGGGATGGCATGGGATGGCATGGGATGGCGTGGGATGGCGTGGGATGGCATGGGATGGCGTGGGATGGCATAGGATGGCGTGGGATGGCGTGGGATGGCATGGGATGGCGTGGGATGGCGTGGGATGGCGTGGGATGGCGTGGGATGGCATGAGATGGCGTGGGATGGCATAGGATGGCGTGGGATGGCGTGGGATGGCATGGGATGGCATGGGATGGCGTGGGATGGCATGGGATGGCATGGGATGGCGCGGGATGGCGTGGGATGGCATGGGATGGCGCGGGATGGCATGGGATGGCGCGGGATGGTATGGGATGGCATGGGATGGGATGGGATGGCGTGGGATGGCGTAGGATGGCATGGGATGGCATGGGATGGCATGGGATGGCATGGGATGGCATGGGATGGCATGGGATGGCATGGGATGGCATGGGATGGCGTGGGATGGCATGGGATGGCATGGGATGGCGTGGGATGGCATGGGATGGCATGGGATGGCATGGGATGGCGTGGGATGGCATGGGATGGCATGGGATGGCATGGGATGGCATGGGATGGCGCAGGATGGTATGGGATGGCATGGGATGGCGTGGGATGGCATGGGATGGCACGGGATGGTATGGGATGGTATGGGATGGCATGGGATGGCGCGGGATGGCATGGGATGGCTCGGGATGGTATGGGATGGCATGGGATGGCATGGGATGGCGTGGGATGGCTTAGGATGGTATGGGATGGCGTGGGATGGCATGGGATGGCATGGGATGGCGTGGGATGGCATGGGATGGCGTGGGATGGCGTGGGATGGCATGCGATGGCATGGGATGGCATGGGATGGCATGGGAAGGCATGGGATGGCATGGGATGGCATGGGATGGCATGGGATGGCATGGGATGGCGTGGGATGGCATGGGATGGCATGGGATGGCGTGGGATGGCGTGGGATGGCATGGGATGGCGTGGGATGGCATAGGATGGCGTGGGATGGCGTGGGATGGCATGGGATGGCATGGGATGGCGCGGGATGGCGTGGGATGGCATGGGATGGCGCGGGATGGCATGGGATGGCGCGGGATGGTATGGGATGGCATGGGATGGGATGGGATGGCGTGGGATGGCGTAGGATGGCATGGGATGGCATGGGATGGCATGGGATGGCATGGGATGGCATGGGATGGCATGGGATGGCATGGGATGGCATGGGATGGCGTGGGATGGCATGGGATGGCATGGGATGGCGTGGGATGGCGTGGGATGGCATGAGATGGCGTGGGATGGCATAGGATGGCGTGGGATGGCGTGGGATGGCATGGGATGGCATGGGATGGCATGGGATGGCATGGGATGGCATGGGATGGCGCGGGATGGTATGGGATGGCATGGGATGGCGTGGGATGGCATGGGATGGCGCGGGATGGTATGGGATGGCATGGGATGGCATGGGATGGCGTGGGATGGCTTAGGATGGCGTGGGATGGCGTGGGATGGCATGGGATGGCATGGGATGGCATGGGATGGCATGGGATGGCATGGGATGGCATGGGATGGCATGGGATGCCATGGGATAGCGTGGGATGGCATGGGATGGCATGGGATGGCGTGGGATGGCATGGGATGGCATGGGATGGCATGGAATGGCATGGGATGGCGTGGGATGGCATGGGATGGCATGGGATGGCATGGGATGGCATGGGATGGCATGGGATGGCATGGGATGGCATGGGATGGTATGCGCACTGACCAGAATGCAGATGCGCTTGTAGCACCATCCCCCGTGCACCAATAGCAGCCTCTCCAGGAATCTGAACTGACCAATGGCGAAGTCTGACGCCATGACAGCCTGGCCACGGGAGACGCGCACGAGGTGAGCAGCACAGCGAACATGTGGGGCGATGAATGGGCGATGAATGCTGGTGCATGGAGACATAATGGGTGGCACACTATGGCTGTCACAGCAGGGGCAGCCATGCCATGCTGTAGCATGCATGCTGCATTTGTTATTCCTCCGTGCCACAAGACTACGCGCCCTGCTCCGCACATCCCCACTTCTGATGCGTCTCAGATACACAACATGCAGGCCAGGAAGCCACTGTGTCCCTCCTCGCTTCCCACCTCCCTGTCTCCTGCTGCACCTGCTGTCAGTCCTCCCCCTGAATCCCAATGCTAGTTCTTCCCGTCTGAACCGTGCCCATGTCACTCACACCCACACCAAACACGCCCTTACTGCCCACTGTCCACAGTCAGCCAACAAACCATTCCCCCCACCTGCTGTCCCTCCTCGCCGCGGATGCCCACACCAATATTCGCCTTTTGAATCATGCCCACGTCGTTAGCCCCATCTCCAATGGCGAGGCAGATCTGCTTGCCCTCGCGCCGCACCATGGCCGTCACCTGCGCCTTCTGCTTGGGCGACACGCGGCAGCAGATGACGGACGCGCACTGCAGAGCCAGCTCAAGGAAGGCAGCACGCAGAGCATCGTCCGCCAGCACCAGCACCAGTGCCTTGCCGTCTATCACCACCGCATGCTCCTGTGCCGCCCCGCCCTCACTCCCACTCTCACTCCCACGTCCTCCCTCGCTTCCGCCCCCGTCCCCGCTGTGCTCCTGCGCAGGGTTATCGGCACGGTTGCTGGTTGTCCCAGTGGCCGTTGTGCTGCCTGCCTGCTGTGCGCGTGCCCACTGTGCGCCATGCACGGACTCACTGGCTGCCAGGATCTGCGACCGCACCAACTCCGCTGCAAACTGCAGCACGCGGAAACCAAGGGGGGGGGCAGGGAGGGCGCAATAAGGAGTTGGGGAGGGAGTGGGGTGGGGAGTGAGAAGGCGTTGAGGAGAGGGAGTGGTTCGTCAATCAGTGAGTCAGAGCTGCCAAAAAGTTGAGCACGCAACAGAAAGTGTAGGTGGGGGAAGTAAAAATGGGTGCGGAGGGCAGGAGCGTGGAAGGGTTGGGTGTAGCGGAGCGGGAAGTGTGGAGAAGTAAACATGGGGTTATGGATTGGAAGAGACGATTGCACTGTGACAGAAAAACAACATCTAAGGCAACTGGCAGGAGCATTTGAATCGACCCAGGGACAGGCAGGCAGCAACATGCCCTTTAGTGTGCACAGCACCGCACAGCACAGCACAGCACCGCACAGCACAGCACAGCACAACACAGCACAGCACCACACAGCACAGCACAGCACAGCACAGCACAGCACCGCACAGCACAGCACCGCACCGCACCGCACAGCACAGCACAGCACCGCACCGCACCGCACAGCACAGCACAGCACCGCACCGCACCGCACCGCACAGCACAGCACAGCACAGCACCGCACCGCACCGCACAGCACAGCACAGCACAGCACCGCACAGCACAGCACAGCACAGCACAGCACCGCACAGCACCGCACAGCACAGCACAGCACAGCACAGCACCGCACAGCACAGCACAGCACCACACAGCACAACACAGCACAGCACAGCACAGCACAGCACCGCACAGCACAGCACAGCACAACAGCGGTGTCACTCACCTCCTTGAGTGGTACGCCCCTTCTGGCAGCCTCCTTGGCGGCGGCGTCGTTGTCCTCGAGGAAGACGAGGTGCTGCTGCATGTGGTGGCGCAGCAGGCTGCACGCGAACCCGATGTTGATGGCCGTCTCCAGCTTGTCCCCCGTCAGCACCCACAGCTTTATCCCCGCCTGCGCCAACGTCTCTATTGCCTGCGGTACTCCCACCTGGAGCAGGCATCGGGGGAAGCAGGAGGAAGAAGCAGGCGAGGGGGCAGAAAGGGAACAGGGGGAGGAGCATGGGAGGATGAGGACAGGAGGAGCGCAGCAGTGACCCGATGGCCTGCTGGACTCCCACTTGTGGACGCAGCTGGTGAGACGGCGGCCCACAGCCACAGCTTCTCCGCCCTCTCGTGCGCTCCACCTGCAGCCCGCCCCCACCTGCCAGCCGCCCCCACCTGCCGGCCGCCCCCACCTGCCGGCCGCCCCCACCTGCAGGCTGCCCCCACCTGCCGGCCGCCCCTACCTGCCGGCCTTGCTCACCTGCAGCTTGTCCTCAATGGCAGTAGCCCCCACAAGCACGAGTCCACTCTCCAGCTCGTCAGCCAGCGCCTCCAGCCGCTCCGCCTGCACACCCGCATCTGCCACGTACCCCTTCGCCTCCACCCACCGCTGCTGCCACGCCGCATACTCCTCCTCGCCCACCTCCCTCCACGCGATCGCCAGCGTTCTCAGCCCCGCCTCCGCGTACATGGTCATGTGGCGCTCCGTGATTGGCCGGTACTTCTGTGCGTGCTCGGAGGCGGAGAGGCGGTCCATGATGACGCTGTCGGCGCCCTTGCAGAGCAGCAGCAGGCGCCCCTCTGGCGTGCGCACCACCACTGACATGCGCTTGCTGCGCGCACCATGGGGGGTGCAAGGGGGCCGGAAAAAGAGTGAGGTAAGAGAATGGGCTAAAAAGTGGGGATAAATGCGTGGGGTACAAGAGGGAAAAAAGCAGGGGGAGAGAAGAGGGGAGGAAAAAGGCCGGGTAAAAGGGGGTGGAGGCAAAAGTGTTGGGAATAAGGCCAATGAAACGAGTGAGAAATAAGGGCGATAGGGAAGAGGAAAGAGACGGACGGGGGGTTGTGACGGAAACGAGGACGGAAAGAAGCAGAAGTTAAAAAGAAAAGAAAAAAAGCGTCACTCACCGGTGACTGGTGAACTCGAGAGTGTTGAGCAGCTCATAGGAGCGGTCCTGCACCACACTCCACCGTGCCCCGTACTCGCGCACTTTGAGCTCGTTGCCCTGGCGCCCCAGGAACAGGAACCCCAGGCGCTTGGCCGCCACCACAAACGCCGCCTCGTCAGGCGACTCCGCCAGGAACCTCACCGCCTCGCCATCCACCGCCTCCTCCCCCCCCGGCATCAGTGGTGTCTCTCCCCCGCCTCCCCCTTCCCCTGGCAGCAGCAGCGTGCCCCCTCCGCCTGCGCTTGCACTGGCCGCCCCGCCTCTCACACTGGAACCCGCACTCGCCACGCTCACGCTGCTGCTGCTGCTGCTGCTCTTCATCCCCCCTGCGCCACTCCCCAACACACCCCCACTCCCCACGCCAGCAGCACTACCCATGGCAAAGATGTTACTGCTAGCAGCGCGCTCAATGGGAGCCGTGTCCACCACAACAGTGTGGCACACGGACAGCACCTCCAGGAACCGTCGGATCTCATCGGCGCACGGCTGCTCCACCCACTTCATGCCGTCCAGCCGCGGGTCGCGCATGTTAAAGCCCTTCTCCAGGGGGCGTTCGGGGACATACACCTGGTCGTCGTCCTCGTCCTCTTCTGGGGGAGGGCGGCCTGCGCGCTGGGCGGCGGCCTTCTCGACCTCGGTGACGCCCATGCCGTAGGGCGTGCCGGCGATGGAGCACTTGAAGAACTCCATCTGGTTGCGCGTCAGCGTGCCTGTTTTGTCTGACAGCACCGTGCGCACCTGCCGGGCGTGCCAAGCACAGCGCAGGGGCGGGTGGAAAGGCATGCAAGGGAACAGAGGGGATTTGTAGAATCGACCGCGCCCCTCTTGCCCCCTAGCCCGCCCCTCAGCCCATAGTCCTCAGAGACAGCTCCTCTTCCGTCGCCCTCCACTCCTCCCCTCCCCTGCATTGTCCCTCACCATGCCACCCACCGCACCGCACCGTGCCTCACCATGCCGAGCTCCTCGTTGATGTTGGAGGTGCGAGCAATGGCGGGGATGTCCTTGTCCTCGTAGTACATGTGCAGGTCCAACGAGATGGTCACCGCCTGCAGCAGCTTCACTATCTCCATTGTCACGTACAGCGATATGGGCACAAAGTAGCCTGTAAGGCGGGGGGGGAGAGGGGGTTGGGGACACACGATGGGGGACAGACGAGCAGAGAGGAGACGGATGCGAGGAGAAGAGGCACCGTGTGCTCAGCACAGGGGCAGTGGCAGCCTGCAGCAGCTTCACTATCTCTGTCGTCACAAAGCGAGATGGGCACGAAATAGCCTTGGGGGGGGGGGGGGGGGGGGGGGAGGAGAGGCGGGAGGGGGGAGGGCAGGGACCAGGCACAGGGATGAGCGGAACGCATGCACATGCATAGGGTGGTAGTGGTAGGCTGCGGCCACTTCACCATGTCCAGCATCATGTGCTGAGCGAATGGCATGACGTAGCCTGCAGGAGAGGGAATGACAGGCGTGGGGATGAGAGGGGTGGGGATGAGAGGGGTGGGGATGAGAGGCGTGGGGATGAGAGGGGTGGGGATGAGAGGCGTGGGGATGAGAGGGGTGGGGATGAGAGGCGTGGGGATGAGAGGGGTGGGGATGAGAGGCGTGGGGATGAGAGGGGTGGGGATGAGAGGGGTGGGGATGAGACGGGGGGATGAGAGGGGTGGGGGGAGGGGATGAGTGGGGGGGGATGAGATGGGAGGGGATGAGAAGGGAGGGGATGAGAGGAGAGGGGATGAAAGGGGGGGGGAGAGTGGGATGAATGAGAAGGGAGGGGATAAGTGGAAGGAAGGAGATGGAGGGAATGAGCTGGAGGGGGGACAACAGGGAGCGGCAATGGCCATACCATAGAGCACGAGGCACGTGAAGAACTGCAACACGCCCGCCAGGGCGGGGTTGTCCGCGTTATACTGCGCCTTGTTAAGCCCCGTGAGCTGCGCGTTCTGATCCAGCTCCAGGTACCACATGTACTGCTCCTGGTACGGCAGCCGCGCCGCGAAGACCGCTGCGGGGAAGATCGCGAGAGACAGCATGAGAACGAGCTCGAAAAGGATGACGTAATCTAGTCGCCTTTCCACGAAGCTTCGCTTGGACGGCGGATCCGTGGCGTTCATCATGATCTTCGTCTCGCGCCCCGAGTACACCACCAGACCCACCGCGAACCGCGTGTTTCTTAACTTGGAGCCGCGGAGGAGAATGTTAGTCGGCGAGAGGAAAATAGGCGTCTCTTGAAGGCCCTCGAGGCGCATCTTCCCCGTGAAAGTGTAAATCGAGACGTTAGGATGCTCGCACTCCACAGTGCCTCTTAATCTCGCCAGCTGTGACCCGTCGAGCGAGTACGTCTCGTGAAGCGCCTGGCGCAATTTAAGATTAGTCTCGCCGTCCAGATTCATCGTTTCTACGTAACACGAGCCGTCGTCGCTGCTGCTGGCTAAGCAGATCAAATCCGCGGGAAAGTACGTGTCGCCTTCTACTTGAACTATGTCGCCGACTCTTAACTCTCTCCATTCCCGCATCGCTTCCGACCCATCCGGAAGAATCACGCGTATTTTCCGCTTATTCGTCTCGTAGTCCGACGCGCCGCGTTTAATATCCTCCCAGAGTTCCTTAAGCATGGCGAGGCCGATGACGAAGACGAGAGGCGTGATGGTGGTGATGGGCATGACGGGACTGAGCGGCGTGAGGGAAATGATCGCGTTGAACAGGAAGTAGAAATTTGCGACTCGTCTGAACTGCTCGAAGAGGCCTCGCGGAATGAACGTGTACCACGTGTACTTGGTCGTTGCGATCTTGTTGCTGCTGAATCTAGATTCCTCGTTGCTGTCAGCATCGTTAATATAAAAGAGCCGGTCCTCTCGTTGCTCCGGCTTTTTAAAGAACCTTCGTATTCTGTCGAAGAAGCCCGTCATCTCTGCTGGCACTAGTTGTCAGCTACGAGCTTCCCTCAAGAGATTAAAGAAATTCACTGCCTGATAAGGCAGTTAGAGCAATTGCTATGTTTGCCAGTAGTGTACAGGCATGGTAACTGATGTACCAGCTAGTAGTGACTGACTAATATAATCAAACACAACTAGCGAAAATGCGTCGAGACCCAGGAACGAAGGTGAGCTGGTAAGAAACAACCTCCACCAGGAAAGGACGGCCTCCAGACTAATATGATCTCCTAGTCCGATTCGAAGCCAGCATGGCTGCTCATAGAACCAAACTCGACTGCGTGGTCCCAATTCTTAGTACATGGTTCCATGGTTCGAAGTCAGTGTGGTGGAGCAATGCGTCGATGGGCGGAGTGGACCCACCAGACTCCCCCTCTCAATGGTGAGGTTCACGGTTCACCCCAAAAGACAAAAAAATGAGTCTGGGTGTGATGTGGTGTGGAGTGGTGCAGGTGGGGGAGGGGGTCTTGTACAGTTCCATGAACAGAACAGAGGAGAGCAGGTGTGCCGTGGAGGGGAGGAGGAGGTGGGATGCTGGTGACGTCAGTGAAGCGAAAGCGAAGCGTGCTGCTTGCGGTTCGGTTGGCACTGACACACTTGCACAGAGCCAGAACAGAAAATTGCTCGACTGACACGGATCTTTTACTAACATAACTCCTTTTACGATTGTTATATCGAGAAGGCCAAATAAATAACAGAATGCAGAATCTTACATTGTTCATACCTGCTACTGTTATGAGTGCAATTGAGCGAGCGAGCAAGAACTGCACTATTGAAAAGAAAAGATACATCAAGGGAAGGCATGAGCGGAGAATATATAGCGAAGCTAGCGTGGTAGCGGTAACGTGAGAAATTGGGGTACGCTACGGGCCTAGCGCCAAGGTTGGGAAATGTCGAGGTGGAGGACTGGAGCACGGTTTGCCAACCGAACCGTGAGGTTGGATCGCGAGGTGTACAGTTGCGGGAATAGTGGTCGAGGCGAGCGTCGCGAGCGGGTAACGTTTTACTGTTGGGTGCTAGTGGTGGGAACAGTCATATACGGAGTACCGTAAGTTGGGGCGCGAAGTAAGGAGATTGATTTTTCCTTACACCACCCCCCTCCCCAAGGAAGCCCTCCTTTCGAGAGTACGTGTACATCTCAGAAATTTCGGCTGCGCAAATAGCCGGTGAGGACGGGGGTGAGGACGGGGTGGTTTTCGAACTTGTCCAGGGGGCACCCGGCTGTCTTCAGTCGGTGTGTAGTCCTTCCAGCAGATCAGGAACTCGGTCTTGCGAGCTCCACGTGGGTCACGAACTCGGTGGCTCAAGATTTTCTCGGGTGTGATGACTGGCTCCGTTGGCGGTCGTATCATGCTAGCGGGGCGGTTGCGAGGCAATTGGCTGGTGGAGGGGACGTATGGGCGGAATAAGCTGACGTGGGTTGACATACCAGCCAGCGGGGAGAGGAGGTGGGCGGTGACTGGTGTGATCATGTGGCTGATGTGAAATGGCCCGCAACATCGGTGCGGAGTTTTGGGGCGATGGGCAGGCGGAGGTTTTGGGTATCGAGTAGGACAAGGTCGTCGGGCTCGTAAGTGACGGGACGGTAGTGGCGGTCGGCTTTGCGTTCAGCGATGATGTTCAATTTTTTAATTGCGTCTGCTGCTCGGGTCTGTGCTGCTTGTAGAATTTCTGAAAACTGTTGCGCGCGTGGCATCGGTTTGTCGGGATTCGGGGTCATGGGTACTGTGGGGTCTTGTCCGTAGTTGTTACGGGTGCAATTGAGTGAGCGAGCGAGCATTGCGCTGTCGAAGCAAGAGTACAATGAGTGAAGGCATGAGCGAAGAATATATAGCGAAACTACAGTTGTATCGGTAATGCATGAAAATGGGGTGTGCGACGGGCCTGGCGCCGAGGTTGGGAAATGTCGAGGCGAAGGTATGGAGCGCGGGTTACCAACCGAACCGTGAGGTTGGGTCGCGGCGTGAAAAGTAGTCGAGGCGGGTGGTAACGGTTTACTCTTGGGTGCTGGTGGCGGGAACAGTGGTGTACGCGTTGAGCAGGGACGCGAAGTAAGGGAAAGGAATTCTCCTAATACTACCAACGAAAGCGCGTGTACATCCCGGAACTTTCGACTGCGCAGATACTCGGTGAGGACGAGGTGGTTTTCAACTCTGTCTAGGGGAACCCAGTTGTCTTCAGTGGGCGTGCGGTCTTTCCAGCGGATCAGAAATTCGATCCTGCGAGCTCCTTGTGGGTCACGAACTCGTTGGCTCAAGATTTTCTCGGGCGTGATGATTGGCTCTGACGGCGGTTGTGTCATGCTGGCGGGGTGGTTGCGAGGCAGTTGGCTGGTGGATGGTACGTAAGGTCGGAGCAGGCTGGCGTGAAAGGATGGGCTGACGTACCACTCAGCAAGGAGAAGGAGGTGGGTGGTGATGGGTGTGATCATGTGGCTGATGCGAAATGGCCCGCAATAACGGGGGCGGAGTTTTGGAGTGATCGGCAGGCGGAGGTTTTGAGTGTCAAGTAGTACGAGGTCGTCGGGCTGGTAAGTGACGGGTTGGCGGTGGCGGTCGGCGTTGCGCTTAGCGATGATGTTCGATTTTTTTTTTTTTTAATTGCGTCTGCTGCTCGGGTCCGTGCTGCCTGTAGAATTTCTGCAAACTGTTGCGCGCGTGGGACTGGGTTGTCGGGATTCGGAGTCATGGGTACTATGGGGTCTTGTCCGTAGTTTAGGTAAAACGGTGACTATTGGGTCATGGTGGATGGCGACCTCGATGAGTGGCAGTTGCAGTGTGAAAATGAACGAGAATGAATGCACTATGAAAGAGTTGGGTACAAGTACTAACCCTAATTGGGTTGTACCCCATATAGGCAACCCCACTACAACCTACACAAAAGCATAAGCTATAATGCTCTGACACACCCCCATAGGCAAAGTGGGGGAGTACAAGGGGTCACAAGACCAGTCAAGCAATGCAAAGCAAAGCAAGCTCAGGGTGGATCACAAAGTCACCACACATTCCGAGCACAAGGTCAAGGCCACAAGGCCAGTTTACATGCAGGAGTACATATATATATAAAAGGCTAGACAAGCAAGAGCACGTGTATATATATATGTAACAGTACAAGCAAGGTCAAGAGGTTAGCAAGTGAGGCAAGGGAGGCACAAGACCCAGCGGAGTACAGAAGCGCTGATGATCACAAGGCGCAAGCGCCTTGGTGAAGATATCAGCAGTGTTGGCCTCAGAGGCCACGTACGCAAGACGCAGCTGATCACGCTGCTGCAGCTCACGAGCAAGGAAGTAGCGGAGAGCAATGTGCTTCGTTATGTGCTCCAGTCTCTGCTCTCGACACAAGGCCAGCATGGCCTTGTTGTCTACGTACAGCACTGGAGGAGAACGAGGCGGCTCTCCGAGGTCAGTCAGCAGGTAGGTGAGCCAGCGAAGCTCCTGTGCAGCCATGGCCCCGGCGTAGATCTCAGCCTCACAACTGGAGCCGAGAACAGAAGACGCGGGTAGCCCGCCACGAAACAGAGCCGGAACCAAGGCTGAAGGTGTAACCCTGTGACGACCGCTGGGTAGCCTGGTCGTCAGCCCAAGAAGCGCCTGCGTGCCCAGTGAGGACCACTGTACTCTGCCCTCCAAGCACAAGCCCCATGCCTGACGTACTGCACAAGTAGCGCAACACCCTCTTCGCTGCATCCATGTGCTCCGGTCTGTGTCTCCCAGGAGCAACATAGCGTGCGAGAATGCTAAGAGGGTATGCAAGGTCAGGTCGAGTGCAGGTCATCAGGTACATGAGGCAGCCAACAAGCTCTGGGTACGGGCCACTCGACTCTACGGACTCATCCGAAGGCAGAGCTGAGAGCGAGTGGCGAGTAGGCAGAGGAGTGGCCTGAGGCGAGGAGTACGTGAAGCCGAAGCGCTGAAGGACCTGCTGCACCATGTGTGACTGAGTTAGGGTAATGGTGCGGCGTGCTCTGTCCCGGGTGATCTGCAAGCCAAGGTAGCTGCGCAGTTCACCCAAGTCTGTGCACGTGTGTCTCTTCTGCAGCTCGCACTTCACGTGGGCGAGTCCAGCAGTGTCAGCTGTGGCAAAGACCAAGTCGTCGACGTACACGAGGATATAGAACGGCGGCAAAGAAGTGTCGGTGTGCAGAAACAGCGACGGGTCGGCAGTAGAGGGAGCAAACCCAA